GTTTTTTCTTTGAGTCATAAGCATTTCTAGGATTTAAAACTTTGCTGCTTCATTCAACAGGATCTTAATTTAAAAGAACAATCAATAATCTCCAGGAAAGCAAGTCTGTTGACCAATTTGGAAAATTGGAAAATATGAGGTTCTTCATATCTGTATTCAAAATAGATACGCATGGTCGGGAGTGATGACTCGCGCCTGTAATCCAACACTTTGGGAGGCTGAGGTGGGCAGATCACCTGAGGTCAGGGATTTCAGACTGGCCTGGCCAACATGGTGAAATCTTGTCTCCTAAAAATACAAAAAAATTTTCTGGGTGTAGTGGCAGGTACCTGCAATCCCAGTTACTTGGAGGCTGAGACAGGAGAATCGTTTGAACCTGGGAGATGGAAGTTGCAGTGAGCCAAGATGGCACCACTGCACTCCAGCCTGGGCGACAGAGCGAGACTCCATATCAAAAAATTAATAAATAAAAACAATAACAAAATAGATATGCATAAATCCAAAAAAGGTATACTACTCAGAGAAGGTTAATAGAATTGCAGGAAGCAGAGGTAGAAGGGCCCCCACACACTATCTATGAATACATCTGGTAAATTCTCTCTCTCCATTTGATTAAACTTCAACATAGACTGGATCTGCAGGTAGTTTAGTGAGAGTGGAATTATTACCTACTTGTACTCTCATGGCTCAGTGAGGCAATCTACTTTGGCCAAGAGAATTAAAGAGCCAAGACAATTATCTGCCTCCAAATATAGAGAGGGATTTTCCTTGCGTTGTCTTGATAGGCTGTCTATGTTCATGAAATTGATTACATCACTCCCCAACACAGTGCCATAGAAAGGGCTCCAACTGTACTGGCTTCAGAGGCTGAATGAGATTCTGGGAGGGGAATTTGGTTGCCTGTTCTTCTCTTCCCTCTCTACCCTCTTTGATCTCTTAACAACTGTGGGTTGTTAGTTTGGTTTGAAAGCCAGTGGTTTTGCTTGCAATTATTCTAGTTCACTGCTCTGTCCCCACAGCCTAGAAAAAAGCATGTATCTCAAAAAATATTTATTGATGGGATGTATTTCCCCCTGCAAGCCATGATGTATGCCAAGTCAATCTGCAGCCTACTTGGAGAACACCCAGCTCTGCCTTTGAAAAGCATGATTAGGGTATGAAATGTGACTCCATGCCTGCTGCCAAACCGTACAGAACAAGTACATGGTCCTCCAAAGTGCCATCTGTGCCTCAGAAGATCCTATCACAGTTTATATCACTGTGAAAACCAGTCCCACAGACCAGCAGAAAGAATTCTGCCTCAGTCTACACTTTAGCTTGCACAGCTTGTACATTCTGGGTTTCTCATTTGCACTGTGAATGGAATCCAGGTACGATGTGCACAGCAGCAGAGAGTCAGTCTCTGGCCATTGTTGCATGCGTTTGCCTTTGTTAGAGTTAGAAATCCAAATTCAGTATTGCTATGGGTGGCTTGTTCTGACAAACTCTCATTCTCAAAATGTTTGCATACATCATTCTTGTCTCATAAAAAGTCGCTAATTTCATTCTCTTTTCTTTGGCTTGTTTAATTTTCCATCTGAGGACCAGATCCAACAGGTGAGGTTTTCCTGGGGGATGTTTTGACAATTTTTTATTGTGTTTTATCTTCTGAACTAAGGGCTTATTTTTAAAATTGTAAACAGAGTAAGCTTTAAAATCTGTAAGTTAAATAACCAAAAATATATCCAGAAGAATGTTAGCAAATGATTTCTTTAAATGTCTCTTCTATGTTCCTCCCACTTCTACTAGGAGTAGAGCTAAATAATGCACAATTCTTGACTGTGCCAGAAGCCACAGAGGAGAATGAGAATTGGAGTGCAGTGACCCTTGACCATTAGGTTATTAGCAGACTTTGTTTCCAGAGGGTGAAAGGGCCTTGGTGGAACCTTGCTCATGGGCCCAGAACCCAAAGCGCTAGAAGAGAAGCAACTAAATGTGACCAAATACACTTTGAGGTAGGGGTTATCTGAAATTGGATAGCTGTGCCCTGTGCCCCCATTAGACAGGAAGCAAAGTATCACCGGAGAAGGCTAAGCTGATAGCTGCAACCTAGTCCTTGCTCAGAATCACATGCTCACTCTATAGCCCCAGTTAAGCTGAGGCATGAGTCATACCCAGAATCAAAGACAAGAATCTTTCTAGAGCAAAAGGCTTGAAACCCACCATCCCCAGGAAACAGGGGACCTCTCCTTAGCCACAATCTGCAAGGTGCAGGCTGCAAAAATACATGGATTTTTTTTCTATACATTTCTTCACCATTTCTTCTGCTTTTCTCCATAATTCTACACATTTCTTCATAACACTTGATATCTTTGGCCCAACCAATCTCTCTATGAACAGAGATAATAAATCCAATACAAAATCAGACTTGTGCAATCAAGAAAAAAAAAAAACTAGTTTCTGGTAATACAGGGATGCACCCATCCTCAAGAAAAAGTTGAGCATCTCAGCAAGTTATTTAATAACTGCTATAATGCTTATGTAGCAGCACTGGTTTTCACATGTTTTAAATCAATACATATCCGAATCTCAACTTCCAAGCCTATGAAATAAAACCTAAACAGTGAATTGATACAAAATATGGCAAGTGTGTTCAAACCCTGAATCCAGAGCCAATTAAATATATAAGATCTTAAAGAGGACTATTAACCCAGTCTATGTCTCCAAACTGGGGGATGAGTACGGCTAAGGACAGAGGCAAAAGGAGGTATTTCACCTAGCAGCAAGGTAGGTGGACATTGTCTCTAGCACCATAACCAGAGACCAGTCACTGTGCTTTTATCTCTGGCCCCAGATGCAGAATACACAGAAGGAGAGCTGTAGTTTCCTTATCTATTTTCCAGCCTCTGGGCTGTCTTTGCTTCTAGTAGCCTTTCATGGGCAGAGTCCTACACATTAACGATATGAAGCGAAGACTTTGTTTCCAGAGGGTGAAAGGGCCTTGGTGGAACCTTGCTCATGGGCCCAGAACCCAAAGCGCTAGAAGAGAAGCAACTAAATGTGACCAAATACACTTTGAGGTAGGGGTTATCTGAAATTGGATAGCTGTGCCCTGTGCCCCCATTAGACAGGAAGCAAAGTATCACCGGAGAAGGCTAAGCTGATAGCTGCAACCTAGTCCTTGCTCAGAATCACATGCTCACTCTATAGCCCCAGTTAAGCTGAGGCATGAGTCATACCCAGAATCAAAGACAAGAATCTTTCTAGAGCAAAAGGCTTGAAACCCACCATCCCCAGGAAACAGGGGACCTCTCCTTAGCCACAATCTGCAAGGTGCAGGCTGCAAAAATACATGGATTTTTTTTCTATACATTTCTTCACCATTTCTTCTGCTTTTCTCCATAATTCTACACATTTCTTCATAACACTTGATATCTTTGGCCCAACCAATCTCTCTATGAGCAGAGATAATAAATCCAATACAAAATCAGACTTGTGCAATCAAGAAAAAAAAAAAACTAGTTTCTGGTAATACAGGGATGCACCCATCCTCAAGAAAAAGTTGAGCATCTCAGCAAGTTATTTAATAACTGCTATAATGCTTATGTAGCAGCACTGGTTTTCACATGTTTTAAATCAATACATATCCGAATCTCAACTTCCAAGCCTATGAAATAAAACCTAAACAGTGAATTGATACAAAATATGGCAAGTGTGTTCAAACCCTGAATCCAGAGCCAATTAAATATATAAGATCTTAAAGAGGACTATTAACCCAGTCTATGTCTCCAAACTGGGGGATGAGTACGGCTAAGGACAGAGACAAAAGGAGGTATTTCACCTAGCAGCAAGGTAGGTGGACATTGTCTCTAGCACCATAACCAGAGACCAGTCACTGTGCTTTTATCTCTGGCCCCAGATGCAGAATACACAGAAGGAGAGCTGTAGTTTCCTTATCTATTTTCCAGCCTCTGGGCTGTCTTTGCTTCTAGTAGCCTTTCATGGGCAGAGTCCTACACATTAACGATATGAAGCCAAAGCTTAGTGCTGGGAGGAGGAGGCGTTAAGCCGTGAAGCGTCAAGATGGAAAACCTGCTTTGGAATATTATTGTGATCCTAGTCTGTGTCACACCCAATCTCCTTTTGCTAGTGGGAATTTTTTTTTTTTTTTTTTGAGACAGAGTCTTGCTCTAGGTTGGAGTGCATTGGCATGATCTCAGTTCACTGCAGCTCCTGCCTCCCGGGTTCAAGCAATTCTCATGTCTCAGCCTCTGGAGTAGCTGGGGTTACAGGCATGTGCCACCAAGCCCAGCTAATTTTTTTTTATTTTTAGTAGAGACAGTGTTTTCACCATGTTGCACAGGCTGGCCTCGAATTCCTGACCTCAGGTGATCTACTCGCCTCAGCCTCCCAAAGTGCTGGGATTGCAGGCATGAGCCACTGCACCCAGCCCTCGCTGGTGGGAATTTCAACATAATTGGCAGAAAGCAGAGAGAGAAGAGGTAAACATTCCACCAGGTGAAGGCTGTCTGGGATAGCCTGCCCACACACAGGGCAAGATGTCCCACATAAAATCTGGGCGCCCAGTCCAGTTTCAAAACTTTAGCCACAGGAGTACTGTGAACAGTCGTGGATCTACTACTCAAAGAATGGCCTCCTCTCTCACACTAGTCTTTAAAATGACTATTTAAATAAATCATTTTAAATCTATTTGTCAAACTGTGGCTTCCCTAAACCCTAGGCAGTGAAACTCAAGATTTTCTTGTAGAAATTGAGGCTAACACGTGGTCTTCTTCTGGTCCCCAAATGACACTGAAACACTTAAAGACTTTCAATCAGTCATAAAAAGAGATAAATTGTCATCTCACCTAGAAACGGATCATCTCAAAAGAGGTAAAAAAAAAAAACTATGGGTCCATGGGTGAGCGTTTTAATTAAAATACTCAAGCTTTCATTAATAGCCAAGGGATAAAACCTAAAGTTGATTAGGCACCTGCATGTATCAGCACAGCACTAGGAGATTTACACAGCTCATTTTATTTAAGTTCTATTTTAGAGCAAAGGAAACAGTCTCACGGAAGGCAAGCTCACAGTTGGCTACTCGATGTCTTTTATTTCTGCCTGGTTTTGGCCCCAGAAAATGCAGTATTTTGACACAGAAAAAAACATTAGGATGAGTGTGAAATCAAATATGATTCTGGTTTTTGAACTGAGGTTTAGTCATTTGGAGCCACATGGCTGTCCCAAGGCCTGGTCCCCAGGTCACATGCTTAAAGCTTCCAGGCGGTTCTCATCATGACGATGAAGTACACATCAGTGTCAATGGATGCGCTTACGCCTGCATAGTAGTTCATGAACTCTTCGGGGGTCACCTGCAGTGGAAAAGTTAGAAACAAAAACAAAACTTTGCTTCTCACTCTGTCAATGGGGGCCCACCTTGTGCACCTGTAAATAGAAGGGAAATAGAGGATTTCTTTGTGTGTGTGATCATGGCTGAGGAACTGATCTAAAACAAAAGAACAAGTGAAGTTGAGGATGGTGTGAGAACAGCACCTAGGAAGAGAGAAAGAAAGTCTTGAAAGTTTCTAAGCCAACCTAAATGGAAAGTGACACAGGTTGTCATCTTTTCTCTAAGGGTGGGAGCCCTCAGTTCAGATAAGGAAGACTGAAACTCAGAGTAAGAAGGAAGTGCTCTGCAACTGTAGTTATTTCTGTCTTTCTGTGACACGTCAGAAATAACATTTCATGTCCTTGTGTCAGGATAAGTGATGTTTTCCTTTCCAGAAATGGAGTTCTCTCCTGTGGGTGAAGAAACAGATTTCTAGGTAAACACTCCTGGGTTGCAAGCTTTTCTAACACATAAATAACTCATTCAAGGCCCAGGGTGACTAAAAAGCTTACCCCTGCTTCATGCCTCCCACCCATCCTGGCTTCTCTCCACTCTACACCCATGACCATCTCTTTGAAATATCGACTAATGTGTTTATCTATGCTGGGATTTTATATTACTTTCCTTTGGAGAAGAAGAAAAAACAGTTATTAGTCTTATTTTTGACAGGTCTAGATAATGTGTACACTCTAACCATGTCGGTTGACATGATGAGTTGGGGACATACTTATGCCTTCCAGGAATCATAAGAGATGACTGACCCCCTTCTCCTGTTTGCTGAAATTATAAGTGAACAGAAAGAAAAGTCACAGGATCCATAATTCTCTCTCATACCACCCCTTCCCACTAAAAACATAAGGAAGGGCAGTAGAAAGAAAGACATTTGAACTCAACTCATAGTTGAACTGTAAATACACATCTACAATACATGCATACAGCCTCTGTCAAAATTAGGATACCATTTGCGTCCCCCTTTCTTGAACTTCTTTATTCCTCTCCTCCTTTGGATTCCTCAGCCTCTGTTTTCAATTCCCTCATTAAGGGATTACATTTAGTTTCACACATCATTATTGCCCTCCCTCTATCTTTCTCATGTTCTGTGAGGTTCCAGGGAAATGTTTATCAGTGTGGATCCATACCACCTACATCAGGACCACCTGGGGTGCCTGTCATAAGCCTAGGTCCCCAGGCTCTACCCTACATGGACCTGCTAAATCAGAATCTCGGAAGCAAGTGGTTGCGGAATTTACTACTTAAAAATCTAAACATCCCAGTTAATTGTTGTGCACACTACAATAATTTAACAGGGAATATCAAAGATAATTAAGACAAAGTCTTAGTCCTCAAAAAGGCCGCAGGGGTGAAATACTCCAACAAAGTAAGTGGATCATTTTAACAGCAAATAGCAAGTAAAGTATAAGCGTTATACACAAGACCCTGAGCCATTTTGACTGTGCACTTTACTGTGACAGTTTGAGGAACATTTTTACAGCTAATTATTTTTTAATTAAAATTACCAAACTCCTAATATTTTTACTTTGTTGTTTCTATTGTCTATTGGTCGACCAGGGGTGACAGCCATTGAGTGAGACTCCCTCCAAATCCACTGTAATACTCCTGTCCCTAGCTTTTCTCTCCCATGAAAGTTGAAGGACTCAAAACTCACTTTCCCAGACTCCCCTGCAGCTGCAGTTTGGGATGGCCAAGTGATAGAGTTCTCACCAATAAGATACAACAGAAATCTGACATGAATTTCTAGGGAAGCTTTTGCTTTCCTTATGCAGGCTCTAGCCATTTCTCATTCCCTCCTTCTCCCTCCTTTGTCCTGCTGCCTGAAACTCAGATGTGCTGGCTGAAGTTAGGCAACCATCTTGAGATCATGAAGGAAAGGCCAGGAAAATCACAAAGACCTCAGCTGTGTTCTTTTTAAGCCACTTAAGCGAGAACATCAAGTAGAATTAAAAAAACCCTACTTTGTGTATTCCAATGTTTAATAAGATTTCCTATTTCTTGGATTGAAAGCAAACCCTAACTGAAACACCAATACATGATTGAGACTGGTATCGAAACCCCCATGCTTCCATCCCAAACTCCCCCAATGGGATGGGGTGACCTGAGTTGAGCTGGCTCTGATGGAGAATGGAGAAGGAATCCAAGATGAGCAAAAGATAAAGGAAGCATTAAATCTCACTTGGAAGTCAGATGATGTCAAGCCAGAGGTCAGAGCTAATGTATTTGATCATTTCAGAAAAAGCCATCAGTTACTCTTAGCTAGGTGTTTGCTTGTTTTCTGAGACTCAACTTATATTGGGAATGGCCTGAATTGCAAACTCTCTAATCTCCCGTAAATTTGCCCTCATCATAGTAAATTGCTGGTTAGCAATAATTACTATCCTTATTCATTTTATTTGATATTAGAAAAAATGAGAGACTGGGCACTCTTACTTTTAGCAGGCCTCTTGACTAGGCTACATTTATGTGACAAGGTATATATCATATATACAGGGGAAGGTCCCAGATGGGGATAATGGAAGTCACAATACAATCCCTTTTCCTCAGCTCTAAATTCATCAGAAAAATCCTAAAACAAATCTAGGTTACTATTAATACATACACTCAGTAATAGACCTAACATCTTTTTAATTATTTAAAAATTTTTTATGAGATGGATGAGGTAATAGACTGATATTCCCTGAAGGGCTTAAGGCCTAAGAGGCTTTTTAAAAATATGGTGATTATAAAGTCATATATACACATGAAGAATTCAAAACTTAGATATTAAAAAATAAGAAGTAAATGTCTCACCAAATTGGGGTGGGGTTTAGTGATAGAAAAGGGGTAAGGAAAGTTTGTTTCACAGGTTATCTGATTGCTTCACACCTCCATCCAAATGGCTTCCAGCTGCTATGGGAGTCCAGTAGGGTATTAGTGCAAGATTTATGACATCAAATTCCATGACTGCTGCAAACTCCAGCACCTTTTTGGGTATTTGAGAGTTTAGCCTAGATTATCAAGTTTAAGCAATATCCTTAACTAGGAGCTATGCTGAATTTTTTGCATTATTTTAAATTTTGCCTTATATGGGATGTTTTTAACCATAAATGAGCACACTGGCTTCAAGTAGAGCTATGCTTCAACACAAAAAATCTTCATATGCAAAATAATTCAACTTGCAAGAGGTAAATTAGAAGCTAATTATTCTCCTCATAAAAGACTTTACCATGGAGTTCCTCTACATCAACAATTTCTTGTGCATTTAAAATACAATTCAGCGTGCAAAAGTTTGAATTACACATCACTTCTCAGAAAACTTTTATTATGTCTATTAAATGAGGTATCCCTGGTAAACCGTTAGCAAATGCCCAGTTGATATGTGCTCAAAAATGTTGCCCAGATTCATTATTATGCTAAATGGTATCATGTGCATATTATATTTAGTAATTTTAAAACAGTCATTTCTGAACCTTTTAGAGTTAAGGATCACAAATATGCATGAGTGTAAGAGTCATCTGATACACATTAAAATGTGAAGCCTTGGACTCCACCCTCCAAAAAATCAGATTCTGTGGTTCTGCAGTACAGCTAGCAATCTACATTATTAATAAACCCTCTTGGTGATGATTATGAACAGCCAGAGTTGGGTATCAATACAGGGTCTGTAGCATTCAGATGACATCAAGTGCTATAACTGCTAAAAACCTCAATAACCTTTATGAGCTTTTGAGAGCTTAATGTGGCTTCTTAAGATAAATATCAAAAAGGGTTGTGTGCAGACTTGAATCAGCCGAATCACAACTGGCGATTTTGACTTTTGTTGAGAAAAGGGTAGCTGAGGTTTCCCCTGGCAATGAGAAGGAACCACCTGCAGAGAGGAAGCAGACACACTCTGGGATCCACAAAGGGGTGGGCTAATTTGGGGAAATGGCAGTTGGCTATTTTTCCACTGACATCTCACTGATCAAGGCCAGCAATACTGGAAGAAAACATATAGTTTTTATTTCTGTCCCTAAGATTTTGGCTGCCCTATTGAATTTCGGCCCTTTTGTAAACCTGCCTCCACAATCCTCAGCCTGAAATAGAGGGTGTATCTCCATCCCTGACTGGGAAATGGCAGCAGAAAGGACAGAAAGGTCACCTTCCTATCCCCCACCCCTTGCTAATGAGACTCATCACAAAGTTTCATTTAAAAAGTTGGAGGACATTCCCTTCAGAAGAGGAAGGTTTATTTCTTCTTCCCTTAACCACCGTCTTCTTGTCCACTGGGCCACTAATCTTTTCCTGTGCTGTAAAGGGCTTAAGAGAAAATGAACCCTGGGGTTGTGCTGCTGCTGACTGTTATCCAGGGGATAACCCCCTTTCCTTATCACCAAAATCCTTAGGTCACCTAAGAACAGAACTGGCTCTGGTTGTTTTTTTTGTTTTGTTTTGTTTTTCCTAAAAAGTCCATTTATGGCTGTTGATAAAGGACAGATGACATTTTCATTTCAGCCTAGACACAGTCATGGAGCTATATAATTCCTTACCCTACCAAGCTATGCATTTGTAACTTGAAGATAAAAGTTAATGGAGATGGGGCGGTTGATTTTGTTTTCAAATTCAGTGCAGTTTAGAAATGTAAGTTAATCTCAAAGCACACTAAAGAATAAATCAGCGTAAATTCTGTTATTTGGCATCCCCTTTACCGAAAACTACCTTCAAATGGCATTTCCACATAACAAAGTGTGATGACAAATGAGGCTCATAAGGATGAGTGTGAAGGCACTAAAACATCCTGAAAAGCCTTGTAAATCTGTTTCCCAAAATTAAATTACGATCTAATTTCAAAGTTAAATGTTTTATTATAGTTCATTGGAATGCAACTAGCTGAGTATGGTAAATATAATAACCATAAAATGGCATGTTTAATCAAAACATCACATTCCCCAGATGACAGGTCATCACTTATGTGGATCCCTTACCAATATGTCAATATATGTCTATGAGTGTGTGCGTGCACATACATATATTAGTTTTCAACTGAAGTAACATGAAAGTTTCACCTGGCAACGGGGAAGTTTCTAGATGGTTCCTAGGGAAATAGTTTACTTCTATTTACTACAAATGTATATCCACGTGTTAATATATAGGGTTTGAACCTATTTCCCACTTACAATTTCAAATTGAAGAAATTTCCCCTGGATTAGACTGTTTTACTTACCAATCCATCTTTGTCATAGGGTGAATCAAAGTTATCCAGAAATTTCCTAAATACTTGTTCCTCACTCCATTCCCCATTCTGGTACTTTGGATGGTGTTTTGCATTATACACCTCACGAAGGTCTTCGATTGTTATAACGCCATCTCCAGTCTTGTCTAACTTTCTAAAAGCTTGCATGATTACCTCTTTTCTGGCTCTGGACATTGGAGGCTACAAAAATAGAAGAATACATGCAGAGACATACATAAGCAAATGCGATTTTTTGGTATCCTATGTGACAAAATATCTTATTCCCCTCAATGATGTGAAATAGTATTTGTGTGCTATTACATAATAAGCAGCACTACGATTGCTCCAAAAAGTTCTTAAGTCTGTTCACAGTCTTCTGCTCATCCCCCTCCCCACAGTGTACTAACAACTTGTGAAAACAAAACCTCAAGGTAGCCAACCCAAACCACGTGAAAGCCAAACTCACCAGATATACTGATTAATGGGGCCACTTACTCTTAATGTGAGAAGAAATTCATTGAAGTCTATTGTTCCATTTCCATCTTTATCAAACCTCCGGAAAAGCTCTTCCACCTCTTCCCTTTCCATTACCACAGCATAATCATTTAACCCTTTCATAAATTCTTTAAAATCAAGGGTTCGATTATTATCGTCATCCATAATTCTAAACACTCTGAAGAAAATACACACAAAAATTAAGAAGAATTTTACAAAGAACAGGTGTAAGTGTAAAGATTTTTTTAAAAAAAAAAAAATCCATACTCAGGGTTTCATCAAATAAAAATACAAAAGTCTTAAATTCTTCTCTGCACTCTCCCTTCCAAAACTAGAGAGCCTCTTCCCACCACACACACACACACACACACACGCACATACACAAAGTATAATTCTAATTACATGACATTCTGAAAAAGACAAAACTGTGGAGACAGTAAAAAGATGAAAGGGAGAGGAAATAATTGAATTGGTGAAACATGGGATTTTTAGGTCAATGAAACTATCCTTTATAATACTATGATGGTGGATACATGACATTATGCATTTGTTAAAACCCATAGAACTTTACAAAACAAGGCATAAACCTTAATGCATATGAATTTTTAAAAAAATGATTTAGGAAGTCAGAAAATCACAAGAAGGAACGCAAACTGTGACAAGAAAATCTCACTGTATTATGAAAGAACAAAACATCCCCAAAAGGGGTAAAGGGATAAGAGAGACAGGTGCTGCTTTAAGTATTTTGAAAATGAGTAGAGTCTATAAGGACACAGGAACTGCACACAATTTACTGTACTCTAGTTGATAAAGTTGTTTCCCACAGGGATACAGGTTAACAATTCTGACACTGATGTACATGTATACTGAAGTTGAACCATCAAGTAAATGGATAACAAAGATGGAAGCCAGGTTTCTCAAAGTGGAAGTGAGAATTTAGAGATAAGATAGGAAAAGAGGCATGGAATAGAGTTAGAGACATCAGTGTGAACTCATGTTTAGCTTAATATAGACATAAATCATTACATATGAAAATATTTAGGCCAAGCATGGTGGCTCATGCCTGTAATCCTAGCACTTTGGGAGGCCGAGGCAGATAGAATGCCTGAGCTGAGGAGTTCGAGGCCAGCCTGGGCAACACAGTGAAACTCCATCTCTACTAAAATACAATAAATCAGCCAGGCATGGGTATGCTCCTATAATCCCAGATACTCAGGAGGCTGAGGCAGGAGAATCACTAGAACCTGGGAGTCAGAGGTTGCAGTGAGCCAAGATCGCACCACTGCACTCCAGCCTGGGTGACAGAGCAAGACTCTGTCTTTTAAAAATAAACAAATAAACAAAAAATGTTTATATGCAGATTACTATACACACACATATTTCTTTGTTTTGTCAGCCAAGAAGACCTAGAAATAATAATGTTCCAGTAACAATAAGCACATATAACTAATTAATGAACAGACAGCAGTGCTACAGAAAGTGAACTTATCAGTTTCTTTGTAAAACATAAATAAATCTGAAATTAATTATGTATTATTAAGCCACCATGTGTTATTCAATAAAATTCACTGCTTAGGAATTTATAATGCATGAAACTTTGCACTAAGCCCTGTAAAGAGGAATAAAAAGGTGAACGAGATGCAGTCTCTGGTCTTAAGAAGTTATTGAAAGAGAAACACTAAAAAGGATAATTAGTGGTTTTAAGTGAAGGGAGAAAGGATGCATTTCAGAGCAATGGCAGTTTCTAGAGTATTCTTGGGGCATCTCAGAAAGCTAGAGGACAGCTCTGAAGGAAGAAATAACGAAATTAAGATAGAAAGTTGGGTGATCTGAGCAAGATGGCCAATAGGAAGAGCTCCGGTCTGTGGCTCCCAGCAAGATCAATGCAGAAGGCGGGTGATTTCTTCATCTGCAACTGAGGTATAAGGCTCATCTCACTGAAACTGGTTAGACAGTGGGTGCAGCCCATGGAGGGTGACCAGAAGCGGGGTGGGGCATCACCTCACCCGGGAAGCACAGAGGGTTGGGGAACTCCCTGCCCTAGCCAAGGGAAGCTGTGAGGGATTGTGCCATAAGGAATGGTGCATTCTGGCCCAGATACTATGCTTTTCCCATGGTCTTTGCAACCCACAGACCAAGAGATTCCCTCAGGTGCCTACATGCCCAGAGACCTGGGTTTCAAGCACAAAACTGGGCGGCCACTTGGGGAGACACCAAAAAAAAGCTACAGAAGTTTTTTTTTTTTCATACCCCAGTGGCCCCTGGAAGGCCAGCGAGACAGAACAATTCACTCCCCTGGAAAGGGTGCTAAAGCCAGGGAGCCAAGTGGTCTAGCTCAGTGGATCCCACCCCCACAGAGCCCAGCAATCTAAGATCCGCTGGCTTGAAATTCTTGCTGCCAGCACAGCAGTCTGAAATTGATCTGGGATGCTCGAGCTTGGTGAAGGGAGGGGGGCCACCATTACTGAGGTTTGAGTAGACAGTTTTCCCCTCATAGGGTAAACAAAGCCACCAGGAAGTTTGAACTGTGTGGAGCCCAATGCAGCTCAGCAAAGCCACTGTAGCCAGACTGCCCCTCTTGATTCCTCCTCTCTGGGCAGGGCATCCCTGAAAGAAAGGCAGCAGCCCCAGTCAGGGGCTTATAGATAAAACTCCCATCTCCCTGGGACAGGGCACCTGGGGAAGGGGCGGCTGTGGGCACAGCTTCAGTAGACTTAAATGTTCCTGCCTGCTGGCTCTGAAGAGAGCAGCAGATCTCCCAGCACAGTGCTCAAGCTCTGCTAAGGGAAAGACTGTCTCCTCAAGTGGGTCCCTGACCCCCATGCATACTGACTGAGAGACACCTCCCAGCAGGGGTAAACAGACACCTCATACAGGAGAGCTCTAGCTGGCATCTGGTGGGTGCCCTTCTGGGATGAAGCTTCCAGAGGAAGGAACAGGGAGCAATATTTGCTGTTCTGCACCCTCCACTGGGGATACCCAGGCAAACAGGGTCTGGAGTGGACCTCCAGCAAACTCCAGCAGACCTGCAGCAGAGTTAGAAGGAAAACTAACAAGCAGAAAGGAATAGCACCAACATCAACAAAAATGACGTCTACACAAAAACCCCATCCAAAGGTCACTAACATCAAAGACCAAAGGTGGATAAATCCACAAAGATGAGGAAAAATCAGCACAAAAAGGTTGAAAATTCCAAAAACCAGAATGTCTCTTCTCCTCCAAAGGATCACAAATCCTTGCCAGCAAGGGAACAAAACTGGATGGAGAATGAGTTTGACAAATTGACAGAAGTAGGCTCCAGAAGGTGGATAATAACAAACTCCTCTGAGCTAACCGAGTATGTACTAACCTAACGCAAGGAAGCTAAGAACCTTGAAAAAAGGTTAGAGGAATTACTAACTAGAATAACCAGTTTAGAGAAGAACATAAATGACCTGATGGAGCTGAGAAACACAGCATGAGAACTTTGTGAAGCATACACAACTATCAATAGCTGATTCGAACAAGTGGAAGAAAGGATATAAGAGATTGAAGATCAACTTAATGAAATAAAGCGTGAAGATAAGATTAGAGAAAAAAGAATAAAAAATCACGAACAAAACCTCCAAAAAAGATAGAACTATGTGAAAAGACCAAACCTACATTTGATGGGTGTACCTGAAAATGACAGGGAGAATGGAACCAAGCTGGAAAACACTCTTCAGGATATTATCCAGGAGAACTTCCCCAATGTAGCAAGACAGGCCAACATTCAAAATCAGGAAATACAGAGAACACCACAATGAAACTCCTCAAGAAAAGCAATCCCAAGACACATAATCATCAGATTCACCAAGGTTCAAATGAAGGAAAAAATGTTAAGGGCAGCCAGAGAGAAAGTTTGGGTTACCCACCATGGGAAGCCCATGAGACTAACAGTGGATCTTTCTGCAGAAACCCTACAAGCCAGAAGAGAATGAGGGCCAATATTCAATATTCTTAAAGAAAAGAATTTTCAACCCAGAATTTCATATCCAGCCAAACTAAGCTTCATAAGTTTCATACAGACAAGCAAACGCTGAGAGATTTTGTCACCACTAGGCCTGCCTTACAAGAACTTCTGAAGAAGCACTAAACATGGATAGGAAAAACTGGTACCAGCCACTGCAAAAACATACCAAATTGTAAAGACCATCGACACTATGAAGAAACTGCATCAACTAATGGCCAAAATAACCAGCTAGCAGCATAATGACAGGATCAAATTCACACGTAATCATATTAACCTTAAATGTAAATGGGCTAAATGCCCCAATTAAAAGACCATCATTCTCAGCAAAGTATTACAGGAACAGAAAACCAAACATCACATGATCTCACTTGTAAGTAGGAGTTGAACAATGAGATCACATGGACACAGGGAGGGGAACATCACACATGGGAACACGAACGTCAGGGGTGGGGGACTAGGGGAGGGATAGCATTAGGAGAAATACCTAATGTAGATGACAGGTAGATGGGTGTGGCAAACCACCATGGCATGTGTATACCTATGTAACAAACCTGCACATTCTGCCCATGTATCCCAGCAATTAAAGAATAATCTTTATAAAAGATGGAAAGTTGAAGTAATCAGAATCTAAAGACTTTTAAATGTCCTTACATGCTAAAAAGTTTGAACTTTACTAGCAAGTCTTTTTTAAAGTCATTAAATGGTTGACTTGAAGTGACATTATCAAAATAATGAGAACTTTAGCAATAGGAGAACTAAGAGAACTCTAGCAACAGTGGGTTGAATGAATTGGAGGACTGAAAACTTAGAAGCAAAGGAACCAGTAAGAATACTATCGTTAGAGTCCAGTGAAAAAATGTTGAGTGTCTATACTTGAGCAATTGGAATGAAAATTAAAAAAGAAAGATTTCAAGATATTATAAAAATAAAGGAGTCAATATGGTGGGCTAATGAAGGTAATTCTGAAGTTTTCAACCCAAGGACCTGGAAGAGTAGTAATACCACGAAGACAGCAGGGGCTGCAGAAGAAGCTGTATTTGCAAAAAAAAAAAAGACTCCTGTTTTGTTTGGATTAGATACTCTGTAAGGCAACCACACAGAGATATTCACTAGTTAGTTGGCTAATTAGCTATATCTTTCCTGATTTTATATATATACACACACACATACACACATATATGTGTGTGTGTATATATATATATGGTGAAATTAGTTTGTATCTCAGGAACGGATATCATTCCAAGAATGTGGCAAGGGGCCAGAGTAGAGATGTGCTAACTCAGGAGTAGCCAAAGTGTCTGATAAATTAAGGATACTGGCAAAAGAATCTTGAAAATTTAGATACTAGAGAAGTATCTACATTTACAAGGCAATTGGAAATTACTAAGAAAGAACATATACTGTTGAAAACCATGAGAATTTCATGTCAAAAAATGAAGGTGTCAAGGTTATAAATGATAAAGTCATCTTGATCTTGGTCAGGGTAAAGACTCAGACAGGGTGGAAAGATGGTGCCAGGAGCCATTAGAATGCTAAATGTTGTGCAGGTGGGAAGATGGCAGAGTCTAACCTGAAGAGATGCCCTTCTAAGACAGGATTTATGGGAAAGAAATAAATGAACAAAGGGGTGAATATGACCTGGGATTTGGAGTTAGACTGAAGGAGAGTATTTAGTCTTCAACTGATCCTAAGGTAGGAGTGGAGGAGAAGGGGCAGCTTCCACTTGAGTTAGGAGGTACTTAGTGAAGGCCAAAGTCAGTGAGGCAGGCAGATGGCACATTCTGCAAAAGGTCTAGGATGGAATGGTGTCTGTTCACCGTAGACTGGTTCCCAGTAGAAAGGCTGGTAGAGACACAGTGTGCAGTGTGGGTATGGGATGAAGACAGCACAGGCAGCAGGAGGGATTCCACTGAGTGAACCAGAGAGTGGAAGAGAGGATTCTTCAAGGGTTTGCACTAAGGACAATGATGTGGACCCATGATGAACAGAGTAGAGGTTGAAGTGACACAATATTGAGGGCATGGGGACTGGTCTTCCCATTGGACTGGGGCAGCCTGGCCGTCAGGGTCCATATCCCCACTGCCTGGCCTTCTGACAGATCTGGGCTTAGTCTGAGACTTGGGACTGTTCAGAGTTGTCTCCCAGGCACTCAGTACCTTGCTGGAAGTGAAGCCTTTCACATCAGCTGGGTGCAAGGCTGGATTTCCCTCCCATTGGCATCCTGTACTCTCTAATATACAACTTCTCACACCACTGAGATACATTTAGATCACTCATGTACTCCATAGTCTTAGTCCTCCATGGGGGCTTAAGAAGCCTTGTTCACCCAAGGGTCCCTTGAGATGTGTCCAATGCCTGGCCCATGGCAGGCTCTTGATGGAGTTTGTTATGATGCACAGGACCTGCCCTCAGGAGGCTCACAATCTTCTTTCCCCTTGGGTTTCTCAATCCTTAAAACTATTCACACTCAGAGGACAGAGGGTGGGAGAACAGGAGCTACCCAGCTGATAGAACCTCATTGGCAGTGAGCTGTCAGTTATCTGACAAGCAATACCAGTGTCCCTCGAAGTGACGGAGAAATGATTGCCTGAGAGCAAAACTCCAAATTCTGCAATTAGGGCTAAATGGCTGTTCCTTTCTCCCTCTTCCACCCTGGACTTTATTATCACAGCTGCAGAGAGAGTTCCTTTCATTGTCCTGGTAGGCATCTCCATGCCAGGGCACATGCTGCTTCTCCCTTTACCTCATATTTTCCCAGAGCTGCACTGTCTTGTAGCAGATATGAGTCTTGCTGAATCTGGGACTAAGATCCAAAAACTATGAGGAGATCAACTCTTCTACACTCCACATTTTACAAATAAGGAACTGAGCCCTAGGAGGAAATGACTTGCCCAAGACCACGTGGCCAACATTAGCCTCACCTCGCCGAGTCGTTCCTTCCCATTCCATTCCCTGCTACCTGTAGCTGAGTCCTACCTGCCAAGTCCTTTGATCCCAGCAGAGCCCCTGGCCAGGCACTGTAGTCGGAGTCTTTCAATGGGGTCGGTGGCCGTGGTGAGCTTTTTCTTGGCCTGGGTTGCCATCTCTCGGTCATGGCGTGCTGTCCCTGCCATCTGAGGGGAAGCCATAGCATGTTAGCAGAGTCCAGGCCTTGCCACTGCCTCTGGCTGGGCAGGGTGACAGCAGCCTCACTGAGAAGGAAATCTACAGCCTTCTCTGTCAGGAAACCTCTCAAAATTTCCCATTTTTCTCTATGTCAACTGTGTGCCTGGCATATTTATAACTTACTTATCTAGTCCTGAGGACATCTGGTTTCTCCAGCCCAGACAATAATCTTAAATATATCACCATTTCCCAAGACGCTGTGGTCTTTCTGAGGCCCTCCTCCATCCATAAAAGAAGTCCAGTTTCTCTATACTCTCTTTTTTGAACCAATCTTATATGCCACATTATTTTATGTAGAATTTTCCATATTCCCTTGACCCTGACATTTAATGTTCTCCTCTGATTTTGTTACTTCTGTCTTGAATGAGATTTTCAGCACTTGATCCTTAATGATTCTTACTAGTAATGGGCGTGGTCTCCTTGATTCACAAGTTAGTGTCCACTAACACCTAACAAGGTTCTTAGGATGGGTGCAGTGAAGTGCTGTCTCCTGAGTGGTCCCCGAGGGACGTACAAACTCCTGTAACCACACATGAGCTCTCAAAGCTTGCACAACAGTGGGAAGAGCACTGGGCTGGGAGCCTGGAGACCTGGGTTATAGTCCTGACTCTTCAATCCCCACCCCACAACTCCCCCTACTCCTCACCCCCATCTGCCTGGTAACCTCCCTGTGAGTGAATCTCACAGCCTGTGTTTCCTCCTCTGTTAAATGGGAGGATTGGATAAGATGGTCTTTAAATTCCATTCCAGCTTCAAAAAACACTCATTCTCATGGGTGCTCTCAGGAGGCTCTAGAAGTTACTTGTGAGTTGTGAAATAAAAAGAATGAGAGGCAAGAGGCTTGATGGATGTGCAAAGGACAGCATGCAATGTGCAGAAAAAAAATAGTATTAGAATGTGGTTCCGCCCTGGCTTCAAGGCTCCCTCCCTAGTCAAATTCTGGCACTTCCCCTAAGTGCTACGTTAGGGCGGAGTTATTTTCATCAAAGAGAGCAATCTGCAGATTCACAATCTCGTCTATGCCAAGACTGTTGTTCTCCTATACACCCTGAAAGGTCTCCCACACAGGGTACTCCTTATTTGACTTTTGGGAAAGGGAATCTCATCAAGCCAATAACTGAGGCCAGAATAGACAATTAAGGGATGCACACACTTGACATGGCCACTTTCTTGCAGCCTCAACTGAACCAACGTACAGGATCCCACCTTCTTGCCCTGTATCCAGATTCCCAGTATGTGGGTGAAGATGGGAGCAATTCCTTTCAGTTCTCTTGAACCTCGGGTCAAGAAGGAAACCTATCTAGGTCTCAGCTGCTTTACTCCACGTTAGGAAAAACTTGCTTTGTCTAAAGCTACACAGTCTTCCTCTGCTTCCTCTGGCACCTAAGCAGAGTTTCCCTGGAACTCAAGACGGTGGCACACCCTGCGCTTAGAGGCTTCCGTTCTTGCCAGGCACACACAAGGAGCATATTCCAATTCTCATCCAACAGGGACACCTGCAGCCAAGACCATGCCCTTCCTGGCAGCTTTAGCTTTCTAATAACTGGTGTTTGCTTATTAATATTTTGTCACCTGACCTCACGCTGACAATTCCCAGAGCTCATTCCCAGCTTCAGCACTAACTCTCCCCTCATTAACAGCCAGAATCCTGAGTCACGGACAAAACCACCAATTCACTCATCTAGCCATCTCTTGCTGCCTTACTCATCCTTGCCTGAACCATTCCCTTGCCCTGACCATATTCTGCCAGTGGCATGTGCCCCATCCCCACCCCAACCCCTATGGAAGCAGGAACAGGTGTCGACAACATGCACTTCTCATTCTCCAAACCCACCTCAGAGTCTTGATCCTTCCCAGGACCACTACCATCTTTCCTGACCCTCGACCTTGCTTCATGATACTTTCCCAATGGCTGTCCCCAGCCATACACCTCCCATTCTCATTTTCCATGACATCTCCCCTACCTTGTCCACTTTATTCATTTTGCTCTGGTTTTTCTCTGCCATCCATGACAGTAAGTGAGAATGAAGAGAAACAGAGACTAAAAACCAGTCATGGAGAGAAAGTGAGATCTGGCTCCTGGATCTGGGACAGATCCCCAGTAGGACCCTCTTTGCACACCTTCAGAATAATATTAAAGGCATCAGTGGTGCCCCCATGCCCCAGCTACGTAGTAAGCATGTGTCCAGTTCCCACAACAACCCCATGAGCTGAACTGAAAACAGGAACTCAAACCAGTGCACATATACCCATGTTTATAGCAGCATTATTCACAACAGCCAAAAGGTAGAAACAAACCAAATGTCCATCCATGGATAAGTGGATAAACAAATTGTGGTGTAGCCATACAATGAAACACTCTTCAGCCATAAAAAGGAACACAGTACCGACAGATGCCACAATGTGGATAAACCTTGGCCACATTATGCTAAGTACAAGAAGCCAGACCCAAAATGTCACACATTGTACGATTTAATTTGTGTGAAATATTCAGAATAGGCAAATTCATAGAGATAGAAAGCAAATTAGTGGTTGCAAGAGGCTGGGGTGAGAGGGCCAGTGGGGTGTGACTGCTTAATGAGTGTAAAGTTTCCTTCAGGGGTAATAAAAATGTTTTGGAACTTGATATAGACGGTGGTTTGTCAACATTGTGAATGTAATACACACTTTAAAATTGCTAATTTATGTTATGTGTATTCATCTCAATAAAATAAAACCCATGCACAGATGTTACTAGTTTGATTTAGTCATTTCACAATTATACATACTTCAAAACATCATGTTATACAAGGTAAATACAACTTTATCTGTCAATTTAAAAAATAAATTTTAAAGTGTGCTGGGCATGTAGTCATCTTGGTAAATTAGCGAAAGTTAAAAAAGTAAAACAAGCCCATGAGCTAGTTACTACTATTATTGGTATTTCACAGATAAAGAAATTAGGATGTAGAGAAATCAGGTAACTTGCCCAAGTCACACGGAAACGTGGCTCACAGTAATCCACACGCTGTTAGAATTGTATGATCCTTGAAGATCCTCTGGTGCAACCTCATTTTGCAAACTTGGAAACGAAGGCTTGGGTTGGCAAAGTGACTTGCTCAAAAGTCCTGGCCAAGACCAAAACAGAGGGCTTCTGATTCCCAAGCAGGGCTCTTTCTGCTTCATCATGTTTGTGGTTTATGAAATAAAATATAAGGATCTCAAAGCACAGTTTGATGGTGCTTTCTCATAGGAAAGTGGGATCAAGTTCAGCAAGGCAAGAAACAGCCAGCCCAGTACTCCAGGCTGTCCCACCTCTTGTGGCTGACCCTACCCAGCGATGATGTGGGCAGTTTTTATCTGGAGTCTTTAATAAATTCAAGGGGAAAAAAAGTCCATTCTCTCCTGCTACCCTACCATGAAGCTTGAAATGCCCCTAGTAACCATCCTTTTGAATCATTGAATCACCCAGTTCACCAACCACTAGCTAATTGTATTGTGTACTTTTTCAAGGCACTATGCAGGAACAGAGTGCGGGAGTGTGAGGAATTATTCAGAGAACCAAGCCCTTGAATAGCCTAGAGTCTTCATTAGTTTGAATCCTGATCTCCTATATTTAAGCAGAACGGAAAACATAAAGTTTATTAAGCACCGGGGCTTTTAAGGAAGGCAGGATTGCACAGGATTTCAAGTGAAGAAGGGAACTCCTCAGCGTTGAAGTTTCAATAAAGGCGCCAGGCACCAGGCCAAGAGTCAGTACCCAAACATATGTCACCGACTTCACAGCAGTACACAAAGTGTCCCTGCCTGCAGAAGACTGTCTGAACCTTAAAGATCCGGCGTGGTGACAACGGAGCGCATCCCTGTGCAAGGTGGAGAAGAGGTTGCACTCCCGACCCACTCGGCCGCAGCGCCACCACGCGTTCTCAGGCGTCTGCGCAGTCCCCCGGCCAGGCGTGCGGTTCAGTCTGCCTTCCACGCAGGTCTACTAAGAGCTCAGGAAGCGCCACGCAATGTGCCAAGGGTAGTATGAAAGCGGGACCAACACAACGCTTACAGCCTGGGGGTTGAGTGGAGAATGCAATCACAAGAGGGAGGGCTGCTTACCTGGCCTGGGAGTGGGGCTTTTTGAGGACCTCTCAGAGGAGGTGATGTCTGAGCTTTCATCCTAATGGAAGGTGGTAGTTATCGAGGCTGGGGACGTGGGGGTAGGAGGATATTTTAGATAGCAGGTGTACCAACTGTTAGACCAAAGTAAGAGAGAAACCAATATAATTAGGAAAGTACAAGTATTTCAGTATGGTTGGAGAATAGATGTATGGGTGGCAGGGGGAGATGAACAGTCGTGGAGATTCGGAGGAATTTGGGGTAAAGATGACACTGAGCAGGCGGGCAGCCATCAGATCCCAAAGAGCCTGGGGTGCCAGGGTGAGGTTTGGATTTTGTCCTGAGAGCAACAGGAGACCACAAAGTCTTCTTAAAAAGGGAAAGGCCGTTTGCATTGTACAGTGAAAAGGATGGATAGGAAGGTGGGACAGGCTAGCCAGTGGGAGACTGTTGTTTCCAGCTACGCTGCCTGGACGGTGTGGACGGAGAGAGAGGAAGAGATACAAGATGACCAGAGGCAGAACGTGCAGTTTGAGGGAGAGGGCGGACTCGGGGCTGGCATCCAGAGCTGTTGCTTGCACTCTCCACCCCCACCCTCTAGTGGCTGGTGGCAAGGGAGGATATTCACAGAAGCCTGGAGATTTGGGGCAGAGGCAGAGTGGAGCCACAGTAGCAGTGGTCCCATTTAGGCTGTCTCATTCCACTGTCCCGGTGCACAACCGACTGCCACGCCAAACTCTCTGTCGGCCTGGATTTTGCGAATTATTGTAGGAAGGATGTGGAAAGCGGAAAATGCGTGGGGTCTATATCTTCACGGTTCCCTCTATAAGGTTCGGAGACAGATTTAAGTGGACCCTTAGAA